TCCAAGTCGAGGGAAGGGGCGGCGGGCGGCCGGTTCGTTCGTCCAAGTCGAGCACAGCGGACGCTAGGCAGATAGGCAGGCAACGAAGCAAAGCAAACGAAGGAGATAGGATTCAGTGCATCATGCCCCGGGCGAATTGGGCCAGGCCCCAGGCCGCCTTCGTCCAATGTATAGTATTTGTTACAGTGCACGAAGGAGATGGGCCGCACGCCCCAGGCCGCCGCTTGGGCTGCATGGGGCCTGTCTCCGCCCATGTCTCCAATGATGGGCATTGTGTCGGCTCTGCCGACGGCAGGCTCACCCTAGACTGCATTGCCAAGAAGAGACACACTTATCTCCTGCTCGACCCTTTCTCCAGAACAACCGTGTCGCTGCTTGAGCTTGACATCATCATTGGCAATGTACCGGAGTGGTTTCAAATCCGCAAGGTGCTCGTACGATCGACTCTGAATGACCTTGCAGTCTTCATTACAAATGAGGCAAATTGCCCCGTCATAATCATCCACCCATGGAAGGGTGTCTGGTTGCCCAAGCTATATTGTGCTATACCTTCACTCGCATCGTTGATATTACATTCCTCAGAGACATAAAGTATGAAATCAATCGGTCTGAGGACCTCTTCTCCTTCCAAGTCGATTACAATGGCAACCGGGTCACCAATAGGAAGCGTGGCATTCAAAATCCAGTGGACGGTGATAATTCTAGTGTGTGCAGCGATGGCGATTCCGAAGTGTCGATCCAGTGGATGATGATAATTCTAGTGTGTGCAGCGATGATGATTCCGACGTGTGGAGTGATGACGAAGAGGAGCTGGACAGTAATGATGAAAATCTGAGCGAGGATAAGGAGAATGGCAAGGCGCTTAAACAAGAGGGCGATGATGATTCCAGTGTATGCTCGACGAAGATGAGGAGGCGGCAAATGATGAAAATCTAGGTGAGGACGAGGACAATGACGAGGCGCTTAAAGAAGAGGACAACGAGGACGATGGTAATTCCAATGTGTATAGTTACAAGAAAGGTGAGGCGGCAAAAAATGATGAAAATCATGTGGTTGTGGAAAAAGACCATGGTGAGGCACTTAAACAAGAGGGTGAAGAGGCTGATGATGGTTATGCGCTTCAAGAAGAGAGTGGCAAGATTAATAATGGCATCGATTATATATCGGGGGAGGAAGACGACCATCATCTCACCGCCATCAGGTACTTTGTTGAATCACGTGGGAAGTTGCTCATGGTGAGGTGGCAAATAGTGCAATACCCTTCACGCGGTCTCGGCTTCACCCGCAAGGTGGACGTACTCAAGGCAGATGTCCGCACAAGCATGTGGGTGCCTATGACGGGTGGTCTAGATGGCCATGGGATTTTCATTAGCAAGCCCTTTTGAAAATCTGTTTCGGTTTGTTGGGAGGAGATAAGAGGATGGTATTGTTTTCGTCGACTCAGGCAGGGTGTTCAACTTCAGATCCCAAAGTATT